ATAGTCCTCTGTTGCTACAATATATTACGCTAATACGTTAAAATAATGAAATACTAAATATAACAATAACGCTTGAAAAAAATCTCTGAAACTAGAGGTGAAAAATATTACCTAACTACTTGGTTATCATGTTTCTCACACAAAAAAAATACGTATAAAAACAGTATCGTAGATATGAATCCTGTGGATAATGGAATGTAAGATTTTTCTTCGGGGTCTTCCCTTTTTATGGAGCTTTTTTAAAAAATATTTTTGTTTGTTTGTGTTTTTTTCTTACACTTGTTTGTATTTGCCAAAATTAAACTTACAATGATTTATTCTAGCATTATGAAATTTTATGAGTAGAGTCCAATTAGTTCTGTAACTTGCCTACTCCCTAGGTCTCATTATTCCGCGCGGCCAAAGCGTTTCGGGCGAAAATTTGAGGCCTAGACAAAAATCCTCAAAAGTGAGACAAAAGTGAGACAGTTCAATGGCGTTGGTTTTAATACAAGACTAGTGTTTCGCATTTCATGTTTAAAAATACAGCCTTAAAAGACACAGATGGGAAGGGAATTGCTTTTAAGGATTAATTTCTGCGTTTTGAACTAAAACTTTTCCAGTGGTAATTTCTCTGATTGTTGTTGTGTTTTCTTTCATTTATAACATTAGCTTAAAGCATGATCTTGAGATTATAGCATTCAACTTGAATTAATGCTTAATGCTTCTCCCATTACACGCATCACTTCGGCGAATTTTACAGGATATTTACTTTTAGGTTCAGTTTTTGGCCACTTTTCGATACGCAGCTAATGAATTTATTTGAAAATATGTTCTTCTGATTTAATGAATCAACTGAGATTAGCGCTCTAAGTTTACTACACAGAGGGTCGTTTTTACTTTGAAAATTGGCGCGGTCACTTTTTTTAAAATGGGTTAAGAGCTACAAACTCAGATAGTTCAGTTGGAATGATGACTTTTCAAAGTCGGTCGGGAAAAGTCGATGCCGCAGATACCCACAAAGGTTTTTTTCCTGCTATTTACAACATCAACAACATGTGCATTCTGTTTTTGTCTAGACGTTTCCCGACCGTTCGCCTCGGATAAGTCACCGAAGTGAATTGACCTAGAGGGACTGGGAAAACGCCGTACAGGAACTAGGCAATAATCATACATGACTTGTTTAATAACAAGTATGATTACAGACCGAACTGGACGACACGCAGTTCTGTTACCAATTAATCTTAAGTATGAAAAAATTTGTGATGTTTTTGTTTTTTTGTTTTTTTTTGCAATTAAAAATCAAAAACAAGATATTTCGAGAGTTTTTGCTTACAGGAAAAGAAAAGAAGATATATATTGATCAGAAGTGCACGCGGGATTGCGCGCACGGCAGCTTGCTATAACGCATGACGCATGACGTGTGCTGTTCTATTACACCGTTCTACTAGTGCTGAAATAAGGACCGCTATAGCCGATCAGGTTGAAGAATTTTGTTACAGTTATGATTATATAAAAAATAGATTTCTCCTGTCATGTATGCCACCGTCACACTACTCACATAGACTGAATAAACTCATTTGTCATGCTTTGACAAAGCGGTGGGTCGACCCCCAGGCGAACTAGCCGATTCACTTGTTCTCAAAATAACTGAGGAAGAAGGCTGTGCTGTCAAAGTGTAGCAAATAGTTAGCCCTTCGTGTAGCGAAAATACTAGTTATAAATGGCGGTCTCCTGTTTAAAAGTGATGTCTTCAAATAGCGCTTTATCTTTAAAACATAAATGACTCTAAAAGACCGCTCCTTAAATAATTAGGGTCAGTTATTTTAACGGGGTTTAGCCCGTGTTAACGCTTTCAAAGCCATTTTCAGTTTGCCCAACGCTTTTATCTAAACACTACTTACCTTGAAGAATTTCAATAAAGCATATAGAGTAGACTGGAAAAGCACTTATATTTCTGAAATTAACCCGCTAAGAAAGGGATCTGTAAAGGTTCAATGATTCCTCAAACCGCGGCCTAAGTTAGACTTAGTTTAAATAACCAGCCATTTTAAGCTTAAAAAGCCTTTGTGCTAATATGCTCAATAATGAACAAAAAGACCTAAAATATTGTGATATGTGAAGATACTAAAAATATATATTTACTAAAATATTAACTAAAGATGTTAAATAAACGGCATTAAAGATACTGCCTGTACATGAGCTAATATATTTAAGAAAAAATTTATAAAAAAGTTTAAAACAATTCTCTTAGTCTAGTTCTATACACTTAAAAATACATATACACTGAAATACTTAAACATCAGAATTCCTAACATATCGCTTACGATAAGCCCATTTAGAAAATACTAAAAAACACATATTCACTGAAAAGTCAAGTAATTAGATGCTAAATATACTATGGAAAGATTATATTTAAAAACACGTAAATTAGCTATAGTGATAAAGCTGAAATAAGAAGTTAAAATACTAATAATAAATTATGATACAGGGATAGTTTATATCAAAAGCCTGCAACAGTTCTCTTCGCTTCATTCTATACCTGATAATCAAATGTTATAGTATGACATCACTTCCCAAAACGGAACTTAAAAAAAACGTTTACTAAATAACAAAAGTGCAATTCAAAATGTTAATTAATGACGAAAAATAGTATAATAAAGGGCTAGCTATATAAACGAAACTAGCTTATAGTATATTACTTATGGAGCCTTAATATATTTATTTTAATTGATTTTTAAACGTTTCAATACTCATTTGCATTGTACTGTCTCTTTATCTGCGTTCTGACGAAACTGTGGTCTTCGAATCAATGATAGAGTTGAAGTCTTCTTACAAACGTTTATGGCAGTGGTTTCCACTGAACGATTTTGGCAAACGAAACTTTTTGTCATGACAAATGAATCTGAAAAATAGCTGAGCTTGACGATTATGTCATGTCACGTTGCAGAGATCGGAAAATAAATGATACACGAAACAAATGTACAAGTGCATTGAGACGGAACAAAATGTTCAAAAAGGATAGCTGTTTTGGTTCAATCCGACTTAGAAGTCCTCCAGTGCTGTAAACGAAGCACGCTCAGTTCTGACCACCGGGATCGAGCCCACTAAGACTAGCCCAAAAGTCAATAAGACTGCGGCGGCTTTCAAACGGACTGACACAGTTAGGACAAGGCCTCTTTTTACCTCCGTCTTCAACAAAAAGATAAAACAGGCTCAGCTTGCAGGTTGCTGGTAGCTAAACCTTTTCTATTTAAAGGGACTGGTTCACGATAATGCGCATGTGTGAGTTCTGACAGTAGCTGATTGTTTTTTAACCAATCGGAAGCGAGTTAGATGCACGCAAGTAAATTTACAAAATTCAAATTAATCGTTCGCGACGCGAGAGTATTTTCGGGCATTTTGTTTGATTTTATTTATCCCCATAATTCAAGTTTATTCTTTGCTACTCCTCAGATATATGTTGCAGCCGATAAGAATAAGATTTACAGCCCTGTCCTGCTTTGAAACAAACATTTACCAACGTGTATTTTTACGAGGTCGTACCCACGCTAACAAAGCAGTCACCGATCGCCAAAGCAAATTTGTAAACAAACATCTTATTACTGTTCTCTCAGTTCGCCTTATATAAACCCAGAAATACCTACAAATAGAGCCTGACCGGTGACAAAAACACACAACGTATGAGTATTCTTAATTGAGCATAAATTTCAAATGCTTATCACTCTTATCAGCAAATGAACAATTTCATTCGCGTTGCATCGGGTCAGTGTTCCGCAAAACAAATGTTATCGAGTAGCACACATAAAGAAACTATATTATAAACAGAATCTTCAGGCAATAATTTATTTTAAAAAAATCAATTTTTAAACATATACGATCGCAAAGCAAAGATACAAGGAACATTTCAAGTGTACCAGATCGCGCGGCCTGTTGCAGTATATATAACTACAGGTCGGAGTCAAAAATCAAATCAAAGTTGAACGACCTCATGCCTTTAACCACTTTGCAAGTGTCGTGTATTCTTTTCGTAAGCCACACAGTACTCCTAGAACCATACCAGATCGATAGGCTAAGCTTCTCTATCTCCAAAGACAGAACGTCCTGTTGCCGGACGGCCACGATACTCTTCTGAACCTTCATGATCAAACATTATTTTTTGCGTCTTCTTAAAACGTAACCAGTCAAACGACACAACCACACGTTAATCACCACTGCCGAAGTATAACTAGACCAGCCAAAGCGACGGATGTCCGAATAAAACGAAGGATTTTCAATGATTATACCAGTAATGGCGATTTCGAAATTGGTGTTGACCCGACAAATTTATTCTGAAGAGACAAACGGCGCGCATGCGCGTTATCGTGAACCAGTCCCTTTAAAACATTTTACAACATCTTAAGACATCTCATCCTTCGTCAGTCGTTGTCTGTCCTCGTAGTCTCTTTACTTTTCAGAGTATTAAAATGTTGGTTTCAAGTTTGAGATTACAAGTACAAAATCAAAAAACAGTACAAAGACAAAAATAAGTTTATCTGTTAATGTTACTAAATCAAAAAAAGGAACTTTGTGATACGATCTTATTCTACCTATCAAATACCAAATGAAATTTCGATTTTAGTTAAGACAAAGAGCCACACGTGAAGAAAACTGTTGCGAACCTTCATCAAAGTGCCACTATGATAAAAAAAAAAATCGCTTCTTTCTCCCCAAAGATGTTAACTGAACTGATGCATATATATGTTGTGGTTCTATTTTCTTCTTGGTTTAATTTTTTCCTTTGTTTTGGAGCATGCATGGTGATGTATGATAGTGAATTTAAAACAAAGGGAAATAAAATTTAAACCACTGAGCCACCACATACATGACTAACGGTCGATACTAGTAAGATTAGTTTCCATTCAAGTTTTAGATTTGATATTTTTATCATAATAGCACTAGACCTCTTTAGCTTTTATGCTTTGTTTTTCAAGAAAAACAAAACATACAAGCTAAAGAAGTCTGTTTCAATAATCCAAACTCTACAAATCGGATGTGTCTACTATGATTTTTAAGAACATTGTATCATCTCGCACATACGCGTGATTATTTAGTTCCGTGAGCGCGCAAAACATGGGGCACCCACTTGCAATATTTGTTTCTCTTCTCGGTCTCTGAAAAGAGGAACTGCTAGGATCAGGCCTAAAGGCGTCGATCACGTGTTCAACATTATCCTGATCCATTAACATAAAAGTTACCTTTTGCCTAAATGGCCAGCGGAGTAATGCGTCATACTGACCACGCATGATAACAAAGAACACTGAGACGTGTGTTCCTCTTCCCATGCCATCTCCGTTTAAATAGATGCGCGCACACATCTTATAACCATAGCGACCAGTAAAGAAACACGGGCTGTAAAAGGATATCTGTTGTCCACTAACGGCTTCGTTTCGTCTTCTGGCGAATTCAGTTATCTTCCAGAGCAACTGGCCATCGTAACTCGAAAACTCCTGTTGCCTAACGTACTCCTCTAAGTCAGCAAGGGTGACATTTCGAAGAGCAAGTGTATGCTCAATAGATTCAATTCGTCTGTCAATCCTCCTTGTACTCTCTTGGACGCTTTCTGTTTGTCTTTTAACCATTCCAACTTCTCTACTTGTCTCCACTATAGTGCGATTACTTTCAACTAAAAGTACTTCGTGGTCAGCGGTTTTGTTCTCGAGGTTGGTAATTCTTCTTGTTATATCCATATTTGGCAAACTAACGTCAGCATCAGATGATCTAGGAGCAGATGCTGCGGCCACTGCTCCAGATATATTTACCGTGGCCACTTTTCTCTCTAATGAGGTTATACGTTCACTGTGCTCTCGTAACTTTTCTTGCAAAGTCCTCGTTGTTTCTGAGTTATTTTGCATCTTGACAAGAAGATCTTGAACGACACTATCGTAGTTTGTAAACATCTGAGGACTTCGTGACATGGCCCTTGGATCACGCCTAACAATAGCTTCTAAGTCTTTGTTAATACCAAGGGCAAAACGAAGTATGAGTATACTGTGGTGGATATTTTCTTGTTTTAAATGTTCCCTCTTTTCCCTTTGGTTAAGTATCTGATAAAATGCAAAACGGGTAACTATGAACATTGAACCGTGACTTTACATTAAAATGCTGCGTTTTACCAATTTTCCAATGTACAGTTGACCGCCGCCTGGTTAGCTCAGTTGGGAGAGCGCCGGTCTGCTGAGCGGCAGGTCGCGGGTACGAACCCTGTCCAGACCAACGCTCAGAGTCTTTATACAACTAAGAAGAAAGTGCTGCCTTAATGTAATGACATCTGCAAACGGTTAGACTTTCTAGTCTTCTCGGATGAGAACGAAAAACCGTAGGTCCCGTCCCACAGCACTTACACAACCCACACCATTGTTCTAGAACAGTAGGGGACGTGGACCCCAGTATTGTATCTAACGCCCTAAAGAACAATTTAGCTGCTATTCAACTCCCCTGGGAATCCCACGTGCGCCTAGCCCTTATTTGCATTTGTTGTTTGTAACTTAAATCGCCTTCTAGCATATTCAGTTCAGCTTTTATTTCAACGTTGTTTCTTCAAGAGCACTAAGTAGTAGTTTCCTATCAGGAGTATCTCTTTTGTGGTCAGAAGTTTTGCGCCAAAACAATGTAAGTGCGTTGTCCAGTCGTTTGCTGTATTTCATTTTTGCTGTATTTCTTTAGCGCTCGCAGTATTTCTGAAGTTTTATTTTCACTTCGTATTTCAGTTTAAACCCCAACATAACACATCAATACGACAAATTACGGTACATCGGGCCTAATGTCAGTCGAGTCTTTGAGGTTAATAGTCTACCATCTTGCTTGTTGCTGTAACCCTCGAGGACTCAAATGGGAATAAAGTCGTGCGTCTATTGTTAGCGCTGATTGGTAAAAGAAGTCGCCTTATGCCAACTATACCCGGTGGTGTGGTCAACCTTCACACATCAGTCACATCATGGGTTGGGTGGGTAGAGTAAGCTCGTAAGTGGACTGAGAGCCGCTGCCAGTGTGGCGCCTGTATGCTGACGTCCAAGCTTACTGTTCACATGTTAATGCATATTTTAAAGAGGGAGCGTCTGTTATCATCTCATCCATGATTCCTTCCTTTACAGTTAACTCTAAGATAACATGCGTTTACTATGGATGAATAATAATTCTTTCAGCAATACTCTTTCCTGTCTATTCTAGAAAAGGAAACCATAAATGAAATCTTACCTCTGTCTTGGAACAGCCAACCTGTGAGAATGGACACGGACCCTGCACGCCCTCGCAGTCTCCAACGATAGGATTTTGATGATCTGCCAACTGGAATGGTATCTGAGTTAACAACTTTGCCAACCAAAAATTTACAAGGATTAATTAGAAACGCGCTCATTGAGTAAAGAAAAAAAGAATGACCTAGATACAAGAAAACAAATTTTCAACTTGACACACCAGGTCGACCAGGATATGTTTTAGTTCTTGGAGTGGTCATGATCAATTTAAGCCGAGTCGCATTTCTCAATGTCAGTGTCGCATTACCTTTTATTCATTAGCCTCAGTCTTTACATAGCTCTGGTCTATGCTACTGTTTAAACACCTTCAATTTTGTGTTCACTTGTACCGCCCCAAAAGGCCAAGACAGTCTTGGATTCTGGATCTCATGCTTTGTATTCTGGATTCCATGTACTGGATTCTCAGGATCTTTGTTACCCGAACTTGGATTCTATAATCCAATCGTTAGTGGGATTCCGGGTTCCTTGAGCTGTATTCCAGATTCCAAAGCCCACAATTCTAAATTCCACAGGCAAAAATTTCCCGGATGCCGGAATCCCGATTCTCTGACATGGGGGAAATTATATCAATTCAAGACCACCAGCGATATTGTCGCTAGGAAGTCTTTTCCAAGAATGCTTTCTCCAAGATGCCTAATATTATAACAGTTGAGTAGACGGATTAAAGCTCTTATCTGAGACTTGATAGACTGCTTACAGTTGGTTTCTTTGTAAAAAGTATTTCGTGGCTTGAAAGAGTCACATGCAAGAAAAATTATTTATAGGAAGAACTGGAACAAGAAGAGAGGGCTGCTCGCTAAAACAGAATTTTTTTTACTTCTCAGTCTCCTTTGGTTTATACTTCAGATCTGACTTAATCTGGCTTAATTACCTCAAGGACGAGGTCAATCAAGGAACGGGTCTAAAAAAAACATCTCACCTTTCCCCGTGGAATACCCTCCTTGTTGCATTTGTCACATATCACTGGATAAGTTGGACAATCGCTTTGTTGATGGTGCTACAAAAAATGACATTAATTGTTATTAACAACTGAATCATTGGATAATGCAATTCTAGAGCTCCGATTGGCAGAGCGATCATGGTATATGAGCCATAGTACCATGCTCTCCAAATATGGTAACTGTATACGTCTGCTCAAATTAAAAACGAACTGAAAATCGGTTGATTTTACTAATAAAATCGGGAAGAATTCTCGATATTTTGTGGGCGTTTTAATAAAACAATTATTCCACTCGTGCTTGTTGTATATGAAATGATTATAGCCAACTTGACGCCACGAGCCTTGTTGGCTATCCACCATCTCATATACAACAAGCAGGAGTGGAATAATTGTTAATCACCAAAGAGGCCTCACATAGTTGGCCTGATGAGGGCATTCATTCATGTCCCTAGCTAATCCCGAAGGGCCTTTTCGTCTAAAAACTGCAAGATGTAAGAAACCGGTATACCGGTAGGTTGGTCTACCGTTATAGTTGATACGGTGTGTTTTATTAACTGATTGATTGTTTGTTTGATTGATTGATTGGTTAATTGAATGTAAATATTCTGTCCAACAATCGGGAAGTATAAAAACGTTATTTGATACAGTACCGTCATCTTGATAAAGACTATCCGGGAATGACAAAATCCACATTCCACAAGTCTGTACATGCATTCATTCTCCAGATGCTCTGGAAGATCAGCTTTCTTTACCAAAATGCCACACTCAGGATGTACACAGGGGATTTTGAGGAACTCGCAGCCGTTTGTGTGGTCCTGTCAAATTGAGTAAAGTGAACTATAGATTACCACCTGAAGTTATTGGTTGTCACTTGGCTTCAAGATGAATGGATTGAATGCCATTAAGGCTACCAAGCAGTACATTGACGTTTGTACGGGGAGTGTCGAGAATGAAGGAAGTTCTCACTTATATTCAGAAAATCGTTTCCGAGATTTCCCGCAATTGATTATCGTGGGAAGGGTGGGTGGTAAACCCAATAATAGGCATCACCATGGACGACAACAACAATAATGACAATAATAACAATAACAGTAATTATTTTTTATTTTTTTTATTATTGACGGATGTTTTGTGATGATTTATTTCCCCAATTCTGATTGGCTAAAAGCACACGCATAATTTACCATAATCAGTTACTGATGACCAAATTTGGAAGAAATTTGTGTTTAAGGAGGAAATGACGTCAAAAAGGCAGCCCCCTACAGGTTAAGGCACCGTTACCGAGAAGACCTGGGGAGGAGGTTGAGTTGTTTGGGTTATGGAAAAAAAATGGCGGACATTTCACTCGTCTCAAGAGTAAGAACTCCAGCTGGAACTAGGCGAAATAATAGGTAAAAACATAGTAAAAACAGCAAGAAGACAACTCGTAGGGCGACATCTGCTATTTGGAGAATATTTGCGGAACTGGACAAACCTAAACGTACACTATCGAAGATGAACTTAACATCGATGCGGGTAAGCATGTTTGAGCTATGTTTTTAACTAGGAATTACTTTGAATTACTCGGAGGGTGTTATCCACCGAGGCCGAAGGCTTAGCTGGGCCACACCTTGCGATGTCGCATTTTCAGATTGTTTCATGTCTTTTTTTTTAATAGTTTTTATTGAGTTAAATTTAAGACAAGTTTTACAATGGTATTTAAGAATAAACATTACTGCGCTTTTCACAAACATGCGAATTCTGAAGTTCAAAAGCCAACTGACGATTGCGTTTTTCGTTGCCGTCAATCATCTTAACGGACCTCTTAGGAAACAAAACTTTACTTTAACGGGTTCAAAAGGTCATGGTTTGTGATTTGTGATTGGTGGATTTCGATCCTTTTTGTGTGTTTCTGTGTTTCCAGGTTCGTCGCTTGTGATCGTAATTATGATTGACGGCAGCGATTAACGCAATTGGGAAGGCGGCTTTTGAACTTTAGAGTTCGCATGTTTGTGAAAAGTGCAGTAATTAAATGAATTAAATTATACAATTCCACTTAAATAAATACAAACCTAAAAGAAAAAAGAAAAAGGATAACAATAACAACGAAAAAAAACAACAACAACAAAAAAAAATATATATATATATATATATATATATATATATATATATATATATATATTAATAATCACAGGAGTTCAGGCTTCAGGAGTAATCATTGATCGTTTATTGCGACAGTGCTGTTTCGTATGGTCCGAAATTGTAGGACCACACTCATCAGGCAACTTCAACGATTGACCGTTAAAATTAAAAGCTGGCAGTAAATATAGGGATGCGTTAAGAGATAGTATCTAGGTAACAGATGGATTGTGTCTTAGTTACGTTACTCTAGAGCTTTGTAGCCTAAACAGGCGAAACGAACTAGCGAGTTCATGCCCCCACAGAAACAGATATGTACTTCAGAACTCTAGAGTAACGTAACTAAGACATAATCCATCTGTTACCTAGATACTATCTCTTAACGCATCCCTATATTTACTGCCAGCTTTTAATTTTAACGGTCAATCGTTGAAGTTGCCTGATGAGTGTGGTCCTACAATTTCGGACCATACGAAACAGCACTGTCGCAATAAACGATCAATGATTACTCCTGAAGCCTGAACTCCTGTGATTATTAATAGTCAATGCTCTTCAATTAAATGAATTGAGCGCTCTACGGAATACGTTCTACCCAGAATACAAGTATTTATATATATATATATATATATATATATATATATATATATATATATATATATATATATATATATATATATATATATAAGAGGTTTGAACTTGAAATCCGTAAAACAGTGCTCAATACATAAAGTAGAGCGAGTATACGTATGGTTGACGGAAGAAAACAAGTAACTACATAAGTATCCCTACAAGCCTGTTTCGTGGTTGCCCACTCATCAGGGGATTTTAATGAGAATAACTTTACCATTACTTATATACTAGACTGATTTACATAATTTATTCAGTGCGAGGTACGTTACATCAGTTGTTGCGCAAGAGGGCTTTGTTTCTGTGGCGGCAGGAAGACACGAGTTCATTACGTTTGTTAAGTGTAGAGAGTTCAGGTCGGCAGATGATAAGGAATTTTTCTTTAAGACATAAGTTGCATCGTTTGCTTGAGCTGTTGTACGGCAGGTGTGAAGATAGAATGCGCCAGGCGATAGAGTAGTTGATGTTGTTTTCTTTAAGAGTCCAGACGTGTTTGCTGAGTTCAGTGGAGTTTCTGTTCTTTGCGTGACGGAATGATGACATGTGGTTGCTGTATCTTGTTTTGAAGTCGTTCGCAGTAAGCCCGATGTACGTTTCTGTCGTGTTGGTGTCTTTTCGTGTGACAGTAGCTTGGTAGATGACAGCAGGCTGAAGGCAGTTCCCGTTGAGCGGGCATGAGTTCTTTTGTCGGCAGTTGCATTTCTTGTTGTTGTTGTTGATGATGGTGGGGGCGGAGTCGGCGGCAGCGGTGGTAGCATTAGTCTTAGCATGGGCAGTCAAGATTCGTTTGTTGTGGTTGTCGATGATTTGTTTTGCGTTGTTCATGCAGCTGTAACTGATCTTGATGGTGTTTCTGTTAAAGATTTTTCGTAGCTTGTGGTCCTTGGGGAAGTGCTTGTCTATTAAGGCGAGGAATTTACGTCCAATGTTGGTACTGGTGTTCTTGCTAAAGGGTGGGTTGTACCATAGAATGTTATTGCGTTGTCGGTTTTTCGGTTTGCGTGTATGGGTGGGTTCGTAGTGAAGCGTGCAGCTGTATCCACTGTCGTCGAGTGCTTTCTGGTAGGCGGGCGCGGCTTGGTCGAAGGAGGCTTTGTCGGATGAGAGAGATGATAAGCGTCTGTTGATACCTGCGGGAATGTTTTTTGTAGTGATTGGTGGATGGTTGCTCTCGTGGTGGACGTATTGTAATGTAGTGTTAGGCTTTGTATACGGCTGGAAGGTGTTACGGCCAAGGTTGAATGTGACGTCTAGGAAGTTGATTACTTGTTTGTTAGCTTCTATGGTGATGCGCAAACCGTTAGCGTTGAAGATGCGGCATATTTCTTTCTTGATGTTCTCAGTTTCTCTAGGCGTGGCGTCAGTGATGGCAAGTCCGTCGTCCCGGTAGAGTCCTACGTTGATGTTGAGGTTCTGTAGTTGTGAAAGGAGGAAGCTACCGACAAGTTCACATGTTTCAGCGCCGTCGTAGCTCCCCATAGTTACGTCGAATGTAGTGTCGCCTTTCTTTTGCCAGGGTTGTTGCTTGTAAATTAAGATTGAGCTTTTAGCGTGAATAATTATTTTCTTTTCGTCAGCGGTGATGTTGTCATAATCAGATGCGAAATCGAGTGCTTTGTTCAGGAGGTCTAGGCTGATGGATGGGTAGAATTCTTCGATGTCGAAACAGATAAAGCTGGAGTTATGTTTATTGTCGATGGATCGGAACCAGTTGATAACCGCTGAGGTGTTTTTCCATTGGTTGAGGTCGTATTTATTCGCGATGCTGTTGTTATATATATATAGACATGAAAAGAGAAGGAATGAGACTGAGCTGAGCAAGCACCTGTGGCAGCTAAAGGAGGCAAATAAGGAATTCAATATCACGTGGGAATTACTCGCCAAAGCAAAATCTTACACCAACCTCACGAAACGTTGCAATCTATGTACAACAGAGACGTTTTTTTAATCTGTAGGCCTCACATGGCAACACTGAACAAGCGCAACGAACTTGTCTCTACATGCAGACATCGACGCAAGTTCATTCTAAGGTACAATCGAACATGTGAAAGCCAGAGATTGTAGCGCGAGCTTTCGTGTGACTTAGGTTTCGTATAAGAGTTGTAGGCGATTGAAAGCAAGCGCGCGCTTTTCATTCTAAAATTTCTTAATAATTTAAATTTCAAACGTTATATGTAACCGTTTTTATCACGCGATCACTTTTCTTGATGTAGACCCTGACGCTTCAGTGTTATAAGTAATGGTAACAGGACTGAGTGGAGTCCAATTCGGTCTGTAATCATACGAGTGATTAACAAAATTGAAATATCATAGGGGTTGACAAGCCTGACTCACGCTTTCCACCCACGTGTTTTAGCCTTTAAATCTCGGAGTTTAGCTTTTACGAGTATATCTTTCAGAGACCGTCCTCGTTTGTATGATATAATTGGAGGTTTCTTTGCAGATCTGTCTCAGAAGAGGTTGTTTTTCTATCAGTTGCCAGTGTTTCATAAGAATGTTTTTAAGGATGGGAACTGATGGTTGATACTGCGTGACAGAGGGCAAAATGGCTTTTTCTCTTGATGGTTTTTGTCGGAGTGCTACTTTCCTGTTCTCAAAGTGTATTTCAGAGAGAGTTAGAGTTATTAAGTTTCGTGGATATCATCTCTCTCTAAGGTGCTTTTGGAATTCTTCTAGTCGGTTTTGAGAAAGTTTTCTGGATACAATTGTGTACAAAGGCAAACGGTTTAACAGTACGTCAATTCTCGACGTACGAACGCATTTTAAACCTACTGAAACTTTCCAATATGCCCATTTCACGTCTTGCCAACCCAAAGACGAACATGCCCAAAGACGTTACAATACAAAGCACGAGCACGCATAAGGGCAGATGAAGCCTTTAAAACAGACATTAAAAGGGTAAGAAAAACAACAGAACAAGAGGTGGTGAACGCCCTAATCAGGTACCATGAAAGGAGAATAGCTGAAAGCAAAAAATCACTCAAGCGGCAAAAGAGACCGACAGGAACTGTGAACAAGAAATCAACGGACAATAAGAATACTCATGAGCAAAATGTAAAAGAGATAGCTGAAAACTTCTTTAAAAAGTTCAACGAGTTTAAAAACCTCATGAACACAATGTCAAATAAAAGTGGTGAAAAGTATGCCTGTCTACTTACTAAGTCCAACTTACATAACAAGGGTGTACAGGAAAACAACAAACTGTCAAAATCGGGCAGTAAAAAGCGTAAAGAACGCAAAACCTCAAAAACACAAGCTTATAAAAGAACACAACTAGAAAGAAACAAGGGGTACATAAAGAACTTATACAGTCAAAACATCACAGACCATGAAATAAATTTACTCTCTAAAGGGTTAAAATTCATACCCACACCATTAACAAAAAAACAGCATATCAGGCGTCAACTTCTTCAGGATTTTGAGCAATTTGCGAGAAGAATGCGCCTGAAATATATCTTTCATGGGCAAAATAACAAACCACATCCTTATCACGTAAAATCAAACTGGATACCACAAGTTCAACCCTCGGCTGCACTCGAAAGTTATCTTGAAGAGGTTAAATTACAACGGGCAGAAATTAAACTGTCACAGCCAAAAAACAATCTGTCATCAAAAGAACGAGAAGCACTAAAATCTTTAAAAAGAAACAAACATCTTAATGTGAAAAAAGCAGACAAAGGTTCCTGTGTCGTTATTATGGACACAGAAAACAAAATAAACGAAGGTCAAATACTACTTGACAACTCGAAACACTATAGACCTTTAGATGAACCGATGGTTAAGGAAACTCAATATAAAGTGAAACAACTAATACAAGAACTACATGAAAATAAAAACATTGATGACATGACAAAAAAATTCACAAGCCTACACCAGTAGGTAGGCCAATAATATCAGGTTGTGACGGACCAACAGAAAGAATCTCAGCATTTCTTGATAGGCTGTTGCAACCTATAGCACAAAGACAGGCTTCTTATCTTAAAGACTCTACAGACTTCATTAATTTCATAGAAAGCACAGAAGTCCCAAAGCACGCGATCA